TCCACTAATACTGTAAATGTAGCTGCATTTTCCTGACAGCATTAGACAAAGCTATTTTCATGAAACAGTCACAATGCACCCAAAGTTCCTGATAATGCAGAAGAAGGTGAACTTGATTAAATCACTGGTTGAAAAAGACCAAACGTAGATAGAAATTGAACTCTGTCAGACATGTATCCTTTCAGGGATGCCAATATTGACCCCTGCTGCTCATCTGCAGTAACTGCAGTTCAATCTGCAAAAATACCTTGACACATATTCACACGGAGGATCGGTAGGGGACAGACATTGTGACATAATGACCCTTACACTATAAGTGTATATGTCTTAACATTTAATGGTAAGGTTACTACTCCGCGTTGTGTCACTGCATCTTTTGCATAATGCGTCTCTGAGGTCTTGTTGCTCCATCTCTTCTTGACTGATTGCACAAGCTGTATTTGACACAACCCGTAGAGTAACTCGAGATCCAGTGCCCTGTGTTTTTCCCGCCTTGTGCTCCCCCGCCCTGATTGTGCTCACCTGTGTCTCGTTACCCCCTGATTGTCTGCGTATTTAATCCCTGTGTGTCCTCACCTTTGTTGTCAGTTCATAGTGTGTACTTTGTGTTGCCTAGTTCCAGACTTCTTCTGCCAGTGAGTTTTTTTTAAGCTTGCCTGCCTTTAATGGATTGTTTGCTCCTCTGATAGCTTACCTGTGTACTGACCGGGGCTGAGCTGTGTATTAAACTCTGCTTTTACTGACCTCTGCCTTGTGTGCGTCTACATTTTGGGTCCATGTTTCTATCTGGTTCTGTTAGATTTGATGCTGTCTTTCTACAGGTAAAGTCACATTTAATGGCAACTTTGGATCGAGCCATGGTATCATTTTGAGTGTAGAAGGGAAGACAGACCTGAGTAATTAATTACAGACGTGTCGTAAGAAATACAGGAATTTATCTAGCTCCTGTGTCACTTTTCATAAGTGGATGTAAGAAGGAAAAAAAATGGTACTCCGTGGGCAGCCTTTGCTTTGCAACTACAAACATAAAGCTGCATTTTAAACATTAAATCAATTCCTCCACATATTTTGAGGTCAATTTATTTGCTTCTAAAATGAATCTATTGCAGCTTTCACAAATACACCTGCAGAAGTACTGATGTCCTCTCACATTTTAGGGAGAGGATGTGAAATGCAGAGGCTCAACTTGCAGCTCTGTGCCCTACATGCATAAATGCTGTAACTGTGTTCAACCAAACAAGCGCCATGACTACAGGCTGACAAAGCATTTGTTCATCTGTAATTAATTATGCATAACTCTGACTAATAATAAACAGTCTTTGGGAATGATTAAATAACCCTCCTGCTGTTCAGAGATGGATCGTGTCTGCAGGCATGAAAGCTTGATGAGGCCACATGTCGACACATTTACAGAGCAACAATGGGTCCATCAGTGTGTTACAAATGTACGCCATAGCCTAGAACACAATCAAAAGCATGATTTTCCAGTTCACCAGCATGCATGTTCTTCTCAAGCTTCTTTTTTTTTATCTAGATGAAAACCAAGACATTTGAGCAAAAAAAAAAAAAAAAACATGCCGACAGAAATATCTCATTTGGCTAACAGAGCTGTGTGGTATCGTCTCTCTCTGTTTGGTTTCCCACACACTCCTCTGAAGCAGCTCCCTGGCAGTTAGTCTCACTCAGCATCCAGAACACGCCCAACTGTGTTTTCAGTGGAAAACAGATCTATCTCACCTAAGATGTCAACATTACTTTCTTCTTTTATGTTGGCATGCAAAAGAGACTATTGATCAATAAGACTTTGTAATCAGTGTGCAGAGGGTTCTGTGTACAAGTAAGAAGTTTGCATCCAAGAAGCCAGTAACTTAGAGGTTGGAACCCTTCAAAGGGTTTTATTTAAAATTCAGAGGGATCAAATGATTCGAAGAGGAACATATTTCTGTTGCCAAAGATAAAATACTTTGGAAAAAAGTATTCAAATATTGCATCATTTTACCTTTTCAAGCACAGAAACTCAGGAGAATAATCTAAAGGAGGGGGAATTACTCTCATGTTTAACAGCTCAAAGTTTTTACACATGCAACCTCTAATAAGAGGTGACATCATCCCTTATTTTCCCATGAAATGAGATTTGTGTTCATATTATTTGGTGCAGCACATGGGTTATGAAACAGTTTTATACCAGATAAGGACAGATTCAAGCTTTTGTTTGATCCTGTTTCTCTTGAAACCCTTAATGACACAACTCATTGTCTACCATTGTGACAGATTTGGATCTTATAGCATTAAATGACAAATCATTGGAGTATCATCCAATAGTTTTCTTTTGTGATTTATTTATTTTTGGATCAGCTTACTCCTAACTAAACTTCGCTAATAAAGTCTGAGGCTTGTGTTTGTCAATGAATTCTTGCTTATTTGTGCGATGTATTCAAACTTCTATTTTCTTTAGTTCACATTTCCTCCATCCGTTAACTAAACAAGCTGATAAATACATACAAAGTCTGTGTTTGTGCTATCAAGAGGCACATGTATGGAGGTCACAGTTCCCCAAGAGGGCAGCCCAGGCTCGGGTCGGACCTGTGGCTCCTCTCCGACATGTCATTCCCCAATCTCTTTTCCTGATTTCGACTCTATCCACTGTCCTATCTCTGCAATAAAGGCATGAAAAGCCCAAAAAATAAATCTTAAAAAAAAAAAAAAAAGAGGCCCCAGATTTCCAAGTACACTAAAGGGACTATCAGGGTTAAAGGGACATAAGCAAAAAAGGCCGGGAGCCACTTCTGTACTGCTGTTAGCCTCATCATCCACTGTCACTTCTGCACAGTGCCCTCCTTTACATTCTGCTGATGTGGCACATTTTCCTCGAACACTCTCTGCTCCTGGCAGGAATGTTTGTGCTCCCAAAGAGATCAGTTTGTCCTCAGCTGCCCCTGGAGCCTACACAGAGTCATTTCCATGCCTGAAAACAACGGCGAGGAAAGGGTACACCTGCCTCACAGAGCAGACGGCCCCTCTCAGCTCCTATTAATCAGCTAAATGACTATCATGTCTGCTCTAAGCATTACACTGCCTGCTATCAGCCCCAGCCTGCGAGACTAATTGGGCATGTTGAGTCACACTCACAGCAACATTTACAGCGGAAAAGAGCGACGACATAACACTCCACATGTGCTGTATTGAAGTGTTTGAGAGTGACTGAGAAGATTGATGGATGAAGACGTCACCACATGATGTCAGATAGTAAAAGGAGCCAAAATAACAGAAAAACTCTCACTTGTGTTTGCACTTAAGCAGATAGTGTGAAAAAAAAGACATTTGGCGATACACTACGGGTTATCTCACTGCTGATAAAACTTGGTGGACAGCCGTTTGATGAGTCACATATGAATCACTTGCTTGATTCTGGATTAAAAACAGAAACGCCAACACATACAGAACACCGCCCAATCTCTTCACGATTGCAACTGCTGCCATCAGAAAATGAACTTTTTATTTTTGCAGTTGAGGCAAAAAAACTGACAGTTTTGCACAAGTGGGTGACAGCTGTAATTAAGCCGTTGGGGATGTTTTCAGCCCATGAATCGGACCGGAGGCTGGCAATTCTAATGACAAAGCAGCATTTTGGCTCATAGAAACTAACAAAATATGTCCAAGTTATTTTGCATGCCATACTCTTCTGTCACCATGTTCTTAACCGAGCAATCAAGATCACTTCCCATTTCCCAAACTTTAAAAAGTCCCATCCTCATATGCACTTCTCTGGTGCTGATTCAGGTGTTTTGAAAACACTGAGACAGCACCGCTTCCCTCTTGTTAGCCACTCCGTCAGCTGATTCACCACAACCCCGAGAAGCTGTTTCATTCATGTCAAAGCAATCTGACAACGGAGCATTGAAAACGTCGGCCCTGCGAGTGTCACGGAATTCTGTAGCAACACTAAAAAAATAAAAAAACAACCAACAAGACAACACGCTAAACACAAACATCCCAATCCCGATCTCATTACGACAGTGTGAAAGGACAAACGTAGGAACATGGGGACAGGTGGTGGGAAAGTCTTACAGCCAGCTCCACTTCTCCACACACATCTTTAATCAGGGCTGGGAAAGCAGTGAGAGTGGTTTATCCAGGTTTACGAGGTGATCTCAGGTAAACACAAACACTGCTGTCCCTGTTTATCAAAGGACACGCAGCAGTTACAGGGACAAGGAAGCAAATTTGTCATGCACAGCCGAGCAGGAGCAGGAACAGAGTTTGTTGGTGTGAGTGGTTGTGTTTACACCTGAAAGCTTCAGCCGCGTCATGGATGTCTGTGAATGTCTTGTGAACATGGAGTCAGCTCAAATTAGTTTGTGCAGCAACAGATTAGTAAGTAATAAGCTCTCGCTCAGTGGGGGTTTAAGTTGTGCTTAATGAAAGAGAGAGAGAGAGAGAGAGAGAGAGCCTCCTTAGCCATAAGAAGCTCCCTCTATTTCTGTCATTGCTGCTGGAGCCGTGTGTTTGTACAGCAAATAAACAGGTTTTCTTGCACAGTTCTAAAACTGATTAAAACGTACTGACACTCATGGCTTATGCTGACCTGTGTTAGCCGGAACGTTCAATGTTAGAGCAAACAAAGCAATGGTAAAACACATGCAAACAACCAACTACAGTGTGAGGCCTACCTTTGCGTCTTTAACAGTTTTTTTTGTTTTGCTGGGGCACCATTTCAGCCGGACACAAAAACGCAAAGAGATTTCATAATAGGAGACCTTCCTTAGCTACAAGAAGCTCCCTCTTTTTCTGTCAGACTGTTGTCGGCGCTGGTGGAGCCATGTGTTTGTGCAACTGGTCACACAGACACAGACACAGCAAATCAACAGGTTTCCCAAAAACTTGAAAAAACTGATTCAAAACTTCAGATGAAGAAGGTATATTAAGCTTTTAAGATCAATGTTACAGCATGACAGCAATGCTAAAGAAAAACAGTGTAAGACCAACAGTTGTGTCGTTACCTGGATCTTGTTGGAGCGTCTTCACAGCTGGACACAAAAACGTCTGCAGGCTGGACACGCACAGCTCACTCACCGTCCCCATAGCTCCACAGTGTTATATTTCTATCCGTGTGTGAAGGTATACGGCTCCGTTGGTGGCTGTTTGAGCTTCTCCGTCCTTGTGATTGCAACTGAGAAGGAGGAAAAGGGAAGTAGCAGCGGGCCAAGCTCCACTGCTGTGGCTGCAGGGAGTCACTCCGTCTCTCCTGGACGAGCAGAGACTCCAACTGTAAAGTCCTGCTCTGTGTCAATCTGCTCCACCTAATCCCCCGAGTTGGATAAAATCTCTCCACTGCTTCCCCAGCCAATCTCTCACACTCACCTACTTTCTCTTCCCCCAGTCGATTTTTTTTTTTTAAATGTGCATCTTGGATGCTGAAATCACTTCTGCTTTTTTCTCCCACTTCCCCTTTTTGAGCTCAGCCTCCCTCCATCCTCCTCTGCTCTCTCTCTCTCTCTCTCTCTCTCTCTCTCTCTCTCTCTCTCTCTCTTACTTTCTCTCCCACTTGCTACTTTCCATACAGATATTCTAAGAGCCTAAATGCTGCATTCACAAATGGAAAAGTCAGGTTGTATTTGTTTAAAGCATATGATAATGTTGCTTCAGGAGTGGTCAAAAGTTTCCCTCATAAAATGTTAGATCAAAACTATGACACAGGAAGAAGTCAGTCAAAGAAACAATTAAGATACAAGTCAATCAGCATGTCCAAATCAGAGTTGTCATTCTCGCCACACTCTGTTTTGTTTTTGCCTCCAGTCACTCGTCAGTTTTGGCATCAAAAGCCTCGTATATGAAATCAAGATTTCATTGTTGCTTGGCAACGGGGTAGAAGAAATGATTTGCTCCTGGGCGAAACACTGTGAGCCATTTGTTTTGACGAGATTATTTTCACACCCGTTGAGATTATTCACCACGACTTAATCATATTTGGGGGTCTGGAGCCATAAAGCACAAATAGGGATATGGTTCTAACACACACACACACACACACACACACACACACAAATACATGCACCAAAATAAAAATAAAAAATACTGTTTCGATTCTGCCACAGATGTGCTGATAATGAAAGACAATCGATTTATTTCTCACTTCCTCTTAAAGAGCAGAGCAGAAATGTTTATCTCCACTCCTGAACCGATTCTACACCCCCTGCCGCGCTGAATTAACCGCCTGTCAATCATCCCAAAGTGTCCTTAACAACCGCCTCTCTCATTCTGTGTCAGTCACGCCTTCACTTTATAACTCTGTCTGTGAGGGAGAACAGCTAGGTCCCAGACCAAATGCATATCTAATACAAACTGTCGTGTATTGCAGTTTGCAAGACTATGACATCGCCTCCAATCCATTCATCACTGCCCACTTTATGGCCCGAGGGTTGACTCCCTCAGAGTGACCCTCGCATGAACTGCGAAGTCAGTGTGACTACTTCAAAATGCTGCAGCTGCACATCATGCATAGCAGCCCTGTCACAGGAGGAACAGAAGCACGGAACACAGTGAACTCAGCACTAATGTTCGTCTTTTTTAAATTGCCATATTTTCTCCGCTCTGCTCGACTCCAAGTTACCTCTTTGAACAAGAGTGTGATGTCACTAACTCCCTGAGTACCTGCAGGGAGAGTAAACAAGCCAACGTGTGGGTTCATGATAGATAGATGGATGGATGGAGGTAGGTAGGTAGGTAGGTAGGTAGGTAGGTAGGTAGGTGGATAGGTAGGTAGGTAGATATGTAGGTAGGTGGGTAGGTAGGTGGGTAGGTAGGTAGGTAGGTGGGTAGATGGGTAGGTAAGTAGGTGGGTAGGTGGGTAGGTGGGTAGGTAGGTAGGTAGGTGGGTAGGTAGGTAGGTAGGTAAGAGGGAAGGCAGGTAGGTAGGTAGGTAGGTAGGTAGGTCGGTAGATAGGTGGGTAGGTAGGTAGGTAAGTTGGCTGGGTTGATTGGTAGGCATAGGAAGGTGGGTGGGTTGGTGTGTAGGATGATTGGGTTGGTTGGTTGGTTGGTTGGCAGTGTGGTAGGTTGGGAATATGACTTTTAAATCATGAGCATGTGCACATGGGTAATTCTGAACTATTCCTCCGATCTACTGGTGGAGGTAATGCACCGGCTATGATAGGGGAGTCTGCTTGCAGGTTAATATGGCTGTAGACAATGCAGGAATAACAATACATTACAAATATATATGAGGAAGGAAATACAGTCAGCATATTCAAGGATATGTCATTTTGGTGAGTAAAAATAAACAAAATCGTTTTTGTTTACAAGAATAGACCACACATCACCAAAGATGGGTCCCACAAGTGCCCAAGAGCCAATACACAATGGTCTATTATTCAGTAGGTTTGCCGTCGGACCTTTCGTTGTTCTATGGGATCAAACCGAGTGCTTGAGGTTTCATAAACAGTGACATGGACAGTTATATACAGCTCAAAGTCTGCACACAGTACAGCTCGAAAACCCCACTCAAAACCACAGATGAACACAATCCTTTGAGAAAACTACTCCTGAATGAGCTAATATTTTCAAAGTTTCTTCAGAAATTCTCTACTTCCCAAAAAACACTTTAATATTACAAAAAAAGATGCACGTGTATGTGACAACTTGTGCATGTGCATAATGAGAAAAAGCATCTTCATTTAGCAAAGAAGCTGAGATCACGTGTTATTCTCATGCAAAACTCTATGTAGTGATGATGGCCCACAATGGGACCATGGTATACACTTTACTGAAGCATTTGTGCATACATGCCACCAAGTGGACATAGCAGGGAACTACACCTTTACTCTTGGTTCAAAAGAAAGCACACCTTACATCACATGTGATTTAGCTATAACTTGTGTAAAATAAATACAGGTTCAAGAACTTTGTGGAACAATCATTTACAAATATTACAATCTGAAAACCTGCAGCTGCCTCGGCACCCTGTGCGAGGAGATCCTGATGAATATAGTCACATTGTTTGTTTTCAGAAACATGTGGAGGCAGACAAATCTTCTTTGTAATAAGAGTTTCCCTATGCTTGGGAATAAAAACCTACAGCGAGCTTCCTGATCTGTGTTGGTGGAACTCCTACAGAGCAGCCTAATGTTAGCATCACCTGCAGTGACTAACAACAGACATGGGCGGGAGCACAACATCAACTCTGCTGGAGCAAACTCAACTGAGTGCTTAATAAATGGAGACAACTCCCAGAATAAAGCTGAAAAATGGCTAAATATAGATTTGATGCACTAAGTAGCAAGTTTTCCTAATCGTAAGTTGCATCACCCTGGCCTACTTTTTGTTTCAGCTGCCTCAAAAGCTTTGATATCCTGCCTTTTTTCTGCTTCTCTTTATGTGGATTTCGATTGTGATTGGTGTCGTTTTAATGCTGGAAAACAGACAAATAATGTGTTTATCAGATTGGCAATAATACAATTTATTTTTAGACTTATATCCCACATGATTGAGTAAGAAGAACAAAGCGACAACTTAAGGTGATGGAGTTTAACTTCCTCCCCTTTCAATCTTCTGAATACGATATGTCTGCACTAGTCCGCTGAGATTTCTTTGCAGCTGCTTTGACAGTTCTTCTCTGGATGTGCTTTGAACGAGAGAGGAGCTTAGTGTTGGAGTAAAACTGTCTTATTGCATGGGTGAAAAGTGACAGAATAGAGTAGGAACACATGCTACACACCAGTATAAGCAACTATGTCTCTGTCTATCACTCAGATGAAGAGAAGGGCTTTGAAATAAGAGGACAGATGACACCCATAACCACAGCAACCACACGTACCTGCTGCTGTAGTGCACCACGCCTATAAAGCTGCACAGTGCTTCCTTTGTGTGCACATATTTCATTATGCAAAGGGAAACTGAGCTGCAATGACAGGTGCAGGTAGATGGCAAAAGAGCAGAAGATACAACACAGACATTTTGACGACCTGCAGCTCAAATCCTTTGAAGTTGAGTGTTGAAACAGAGCAGCACCCAATGGATCCAAAGATAGCTGGTTTAGGGCAGCAGCACAGCAACATCAAATAAAAGAGGGAGTAAAAAGGCAGTATGGTAATCCTGTCATACATTTTCTCGAAACGGGGCCCAACATGTCAGAGCAAAGCTATAAAAAAAAAGTAAAAAAGATCCTCAGACACACTTCAAGTCCACATAAATACAACTCTTTGTTGCAGATTCCTTTCCTACATAAATAATGACATAAGGAGAAGAACTGCAGCTATCTCTTTCTTTTTTCTTTGAATTTGGTTACGCTGAAATGTCTCGCTGCTCAGGGACAGAAGAAATATGTCTTGTAATTACTTATTCAGATCACAGGCAGCTAATTTGACTAAGCAGGTGTCAGGGACAGCGAGAGTGTGATTTCAGTGTGCTTAAGTGTGATGTGCTCACACTAAGGCTGATAATTACATAATCGTTGGGCGATTCTTCAGCTGAAATTCAAAAAGGGAAAGTACTGACAAGATAATGAATATGATCCTTGGGATGCAAATTGCAAACAAAGTGTATGAGATGTCACGACTGCCAGAAATCAGCACGGGTCCTGTTTAATTTTGTGTTAAAAACCCATCAGAAGTTAAAAAAAAAAAAAAAAACACTAGACTAAAGAGGGACAATGAGTGCAGAAATATGTCCACTCTTTTTACTTAGATCCACTCAAAAACTTAAGTGTGACTCATAAAAATGTTGGGCGTCTTCCATCCCCTCCCTTCTCTAAGCAGAGCATCAGTTGAAATCTTGCAATGAGGCCATTGCTGCTGCTTTCTATTTTGAGATGCATTAAGCTCGCAGAAGAATCTAAACTGCTAAATAATTGAGACGAAGCTTCTATCATCGCCTAAGCTGAGCCATCTCTTAGCTCATCACGGCCCTGACATCATCAGAGACTGGGTCATCATGTACACGGTGACAGGACATTGAATAGGTTTTCTTGGCAGTGGGGACGGATTTATGAGCGGGAATTTTTCGTGGGTGAAAGTGTGCCATCAAAAAAGTGCGTCTCAGACCAGATGACAGCTATATGGTATAAATAAATCAGTTATATCTTCCCTACAAGGGGAGGAACTTTTCTGTGCACCCCCCCACCCTCCCCCTCACTGGTTTAAGTCTTCATTGTAAATATGTGGATTGCATCTAGTACGCTGTCATAGCTGCAGTGTGACACTTAATAATTCATCATACAGATCTTTGTATCCCTTTGGCTGTGGATACCTCAGAGGCCACCTGTTCTAAAGCTGCTTGGTACAAACCAAAAGAACTTAATTTAATCCATTTTCAATGAATAAACATAAGTGAGGGGTCCCTGGCTGTCTGATATATGGTATAGAATAGAATAGAATAGAATAGAATAGAATAGAATAGAATAGAATTACTTTATTGATCCCAAACTGGGAAATTGTGGCGTTACAGCAGCAGGTTATCCACACACAATATGAGCAAAAAACACAATGTTAGATTGAGAAGATGGAGGCCTATAGTCTGTTATGCTGTGTTTTGAAAAGTCCCACCTATCACTCAGACTGGCAGCAGTGTGAACATAAGGCTGCCTGTCATTTCTGTTCTCCTGGCACACTGCACAGCAGCAACTTGAACACTGCAGACACCCATGGTTTTATAAATACCGTATATAACACTCACGGTGCCGCCACAGGGGCTAAGCTAAAGATCTATGTGAGAGACAAGGATGGAGACTAACCGTAATTCTCCCCCTCCATCCCGGTGGTCCTGATGCTGCTGCAGGCGTCTCTGCTCGAGGATGTCTGTTCGCCCAGCGCCCGCAGAACTCCGGATACCGTCGTCTGTCCTTCCCGGTCTCTTCCTCGCTAGCTCTGCTGTAGCTTCTCGACTCCCAGGTTTCGGGTCTATGGCAGACAGTCGCGTTAATACTTTTCAGCTTGTTGTTAATTTGTTTGTATCAAGTTGCCGTCTGAAATGTGCGTGCGTGTGAGGATGTTGTTGGCTGCCTGCTGATAATATGACTCCAGAGAAACCGGTGCACACGCTGGCCCCGCCCACCCCAGGTGTGATGTCACGATCTAACTTTCACTAACAACTTTGCTGAACACTGCCCACATCCAAAACAACTGTGAGGTAAACTATCACGTTGTTTATGATTAAAGTACTGCAAAAGATATCACTGAATGCAAAATAAAACATTTCACTAAATGCAAAAATATTCAAACACAAAAATGTTTGATTAAATGCTATGCACATTTTACAAAACGTTCAAATAATACAGGAAACAGAACATTTCATGAAACACAAAAACATTTCATAAAACATTTCATGAGAGCAAACCTTTTCTGCAAAATTAAAAGTCATTTTTGAGAGACAAAAATATTTTTGAAATAGAAATATTTTGAGAATTCTTTTGTCTAGAATAGAAATATATTTTGTTGAATAAAATGTTTTTCACTGAGTGCAAAAACAATTTCAGAAAACGAAAAGGGTGCAACACTTGTTGTCTCTGATTGGACAAAGTCCTTAGCAACAGTCATGACAGTTTATGTTTTAGCCACATTTACGTTTATTAAATATTTTTACGTTTCAAAAAATTTTTTTTTGCAGTTGACCTTCAGGGCTAGCATATTATATTCTGCTATCAATTTTTATTTAGGCTCTTAGACTCTTGGACTAATAAATATATGCAATCCCTGCCAAAAGTTTGTGACTTTGTTCATAAATTTCAATTCTTAAGCAAAGCTACACTTTCGAGCTCATTTGCACTATGGGGCTACATGAGCTATAAACTTCATTCATCATTCCTGAAAGCATGAAAACAAAAGGTTTTTTTTCTTGGTTTCATTATTAGCTTCACAAGATTACATTACACTACATTAACTTTCTTCTATTCTGTTATATTTCTCATTTTGAGTCCTTCTGGCAGGTCTGTGATTACAGATGTTATATACTTTGTACTGAAAACTTAATGCTCAACTGTCTCGATTTAGTTTAAATATGTAAAAGAGAACAGCTATGATTAAATTAACCAATACGTTTTTTCCCCCTAGGTAGGATTTAAAAATGCATTTAAGCAAGTCTACACAGCCTATTTTAAAGAACCCATAACAAAAAAAAGGTGGAAAACAGTTCACACCATTTCCTTTCCCCACAAACTTTAGTCTAACCTTGACCTTGATGTCTGAATGAAAAATGCATCATGACTTAAATTATACAGGAGCATTATCATTTGTTTTACCCTGAAAGTCCACACTGAAGAAAGTTTCGGTTGATAATTGTAAATAGTTTTGTTACTATGGGAACTAAGTTTGACTTTTCCAGCTCACACATAGTATGAATAATGGTTTTCAGGCAGTTTGAGGGTCCAGCATGACTTTGCACCAGGATGATAAGTGGAGTCACATTAGTGCTCAGCTCAGGCTTCTATAAAGAAAATCCATGTTTTCCCTTAACTCAACATCTACTCAGACTCAAACATAGCACAGTTTGTAAATTGTTTTTAAAGATTGAAATAGATCAATTGGCAAAAAAATTACTTTATGATTAAAGATGAATTTATATTTCATCTATATGAAAGTATTAAAGGCTGATAAAATTCTTTAAACTGATCATTCAGGTTTTGGACAATGCATCGCTTCTAAATGTTAATATTCTAACATGCAATCATCACTATTAAAGAAGAAAAAAAATAGACAATCAATTCACAAAAGTCACAACTTTATTGCACCTCCATAGTTACCTATAGTGTGGTCAGAGCTGCTTTCATTATGAAAGGTCTCTTCCCTGGTCAGAAAAGGTGGTGCCAAATATAGAACCATCAATGCAAACATGTGAACCGTCCATTCACACACTAGGAAATGTTCCTCTGCGTCGTCCTATGGACGTCAGACTGTGGAGGCTTCTCTTGTACTGTACACAACTACAGTGACAGAGGGAAGGTCTTGCATGAAAAACAGACAACTCTCTTATACACAAATGAACTAACACATTTGCAGATTAATTCTCAGGTTAATATCCACCAACTGATCTGAGTATTAGTAGCACATTAAAGATCTGTCTTTTCTTCTTTAAATTATATATTTATAACATTAAGACCTATACTTTTTATTTATTTATAGCCAATTCAAGGCAACATCTCTAGAATGATAAGAAATGCATGGGCAGATCTTTACAGCGTCGGAGGGAGACGGGTAGCACAAGATGGACTGTACAGTCTTCTACAGTGGCCAAGCTTTTTGTTATCACGTTAAGTTCATCTACACATCTGTGCCTGGGTTTGGTGCAAGATGGTTTCCATGGTTTCCACACCTGAAATAGTTTGTATAAAACGGTTTCTACAAGATGTACAGGATGCAAAGTGTTCGTCGGGGAGACTGATCAGAGATGACGATGGGCTGCAGGATGTCTGGGTTCCTGAGTCTTTGCCCAGTTTCAATGAGTCCAGCGTGACTGTCAGAAAATTGCATAGAGATATAACGTACGAGGGGGTGGAAAAGAAAGTCAGCATGTGGCAGTCCCATTTGAAACACAGTGCCTCAAAGCAGAAAGTGTAACCCTTTTTATTCAGTACAGTTTTTATTTTGAGAAGTGGAACGGTTAAATCGGGGAGATTGAGGGCTTCAGAACACTGGAGCGGTTAGATGAGCTACAGAGCTGAATAGCTGCACAGTAGAAAACAACTGCTCCCGCTGGAGTTCCTCCAACACCCCCACCTTGTACTCTGTGAATGCACCATGTACTGCTCCTGTCAGAAAACACTTTAGTCCAGGTAAACAACCGGATATGATGAAACTGGTGAGGTCCACTGTGTTCTTGTCAATGTCCACCATTGATCTATTTATTCAAATCAGAGGAGAATCCTTTTCATGGTGTCAATTATCTTAACATGTAATCTGAAACAGACTTTGACTTCGTTGGGGAACAAAACAAATTAAAAACAGAATTCACCCAAATTTGTTTTTTCTTTTTAAGTTTAGACATGCAAGCTTTAAAAAGAAGGTGGCCATTTTTAAACCCTCATTTCACCAACATTAAGCAGGCAAAATGTGGTCCTTAAAAACAAGCCACATGGCACTGACACTGCAGCAAAATAAAAGAATGGCAAATAAAGATATAAAATAAGAAAAGTATACAGAAAGCTAAAATAATACAGGTTTAATGAATAAAAACTAAAGGATCTTTATCGTTTGGTAATCAAGACAAAAGGTTACTTCCTTTTATATTTCAAACTTTCTCAGCCCTTGTGTCTGCAAACGTTTGCTCCAAGGGTTGTTTTAAAGTTTTCATTACAAGACAGCTTCAGAGTGTTAGATATTCTTTTGATTCTAAGTCTGTTATACGATCATTTCATAGCAGCTCGCGATTTTTTGGGGGCGACAAACGAGGCTTAAAAAAGGCCAACGTGAAGCTGTGCGTACCTGTGTTAAATACTACATGCACAGGGAAGCTTGAGCCACTTTTATGGTTTATTAAAAGTGGATACGAGAGGTCAAATGTTACTGGTTGTAAAAAAGTGAGACAACATTTCATTTTGCAGATTTAAGGAGCTGTCTGTCTGTTGTCTATGCTGCTTTGGGCTTGTATGTATTCAGGAGATTGGGTTCAACTTGAAAAAAAACAACAAAGAAAGATTTTTTAAAAGATGGAGAAAATGAACTGAAGTTTGGTATACAGTATTGTCGTCCTGGTTCCTCAACAGCGAGCTAGGCAGTCAGCGTCGGACTCCGAAAACCCTCTTCCCTCCGGGTGTTACGGACCACTTGTTCCGCCTGTCCTGAATCTTCTGGAAGATGCTGATGCCGCTTCTCCACTTCTCTTTTTTATAGTTTTTGATTTTCTTCACCTAAAGTTCAGAACAAAAGATAAAAAAAAAAAAGGAGAGAGAGGAGCTGAGTATAAAGGGGTCGTAACAGTAAGCCCTGAGATAGACGTGCAAAATGTGATTCAACTTGACATCTGAATGTGAACCCCAAACCCCATCTTTGTTTTTTGTCCTGTACACTTTCTCCTCACCTTCCCACTGTCAAAGTCTTCATCCCACTCATCGATCACAGTGTCACACTGGGCATGGCGAACATCTTCAGCAGCATCTCTACTAATAGCAGAGACTTCTCCATCCCAGCTAAGGACTACGCAAGAAAACGCAAACACATGAAGTATAAAATAATAACAGTCTTTCAGGGGATTTTTATAAGAGTGTTGCTTTATTTGCATTATAGAGCACTCACCGTTGGCTCCGTAGGCTTTATCTGTGGCGCTCCTGAGCAGCTCCTCCACCACCCCGCTGCTCTTTTTTCCATCCCAGGCTGCAGGAGCAACATTGGCCGGTTTGTCCTCATCAGCTGCTGGCGCCTGGCTGCGTTTGTAGCCATCCTTCACTTTACTGTCCCACATCACCACTGTAGCTGGATTTTATGGAAATAAATAAATAATTATACATCAGTAAATCCAGAAGAATCTCATCGCTGTTCACTACATACTATGAAAGAACTATGAACTACATACTAACCTGCGCTTTGTTTACTGTTCTCAGAGCTGATCTTTTTGAGAGGGGGCTCCTCTGCTGCTGCTTCAGTCTCCTCGCTCTTTCCATCCGAGCATCGCCTGCTCTCCTCCCACAGCCCCACCTCTTCTTTAAGCCTCTTCTTCTTCTTAGTCTTGAATTTCTTTTTCGAAACGGTCACAGTTCCTGTATCGTTCTGTACGACTGCTGCATTCATCTCTGAAGTGCTGCTGGGTCAAAGCAGAGTTCAAAAAGGGAGTTTTACAGGAAGTTGGAATGTGTGGGAGTTTGTACAAGTGACCGACAGTTACACACAAGAGCAAACTGGTTGCTATAGAAACAATTGTATGGGCCTCTATTCCAAATCATGAGCTCAGTAACATTAATTGTAAACAGTTATGAAGACGTACCTTTCTGTTACAGAGCGTGCCGAGGTTGTGTCCTGCACAGGCTCCACTGGTTGCATCTTCTTTTTCTTCTTCTTCTTTTTTAACTTCACAGAGTCCTTCCCCTGGTTTGACTCGCACTGCACTGTGGGACTTGTTGCATCTAATTGAGGTTTTTGCCGAGTCTGTTCTTTATCCGAGTTGGATGTGAGACTCCAAATGCCGCCCTGGCACCAATCCTCTTCCTGGTTTGACGTGTCCAGGTGAGACGACACACACTCCCTCTCCGTCGCTTTCTCTCCATCCTCGTTCTCCCTCTTCCGCTTTTTTTTCTTCTTCTTCTTCTTCTGCTTCTTCTCGCTCGCCGATTCCATGAGGTTGGTTTGTGTCACTTGAGCAGCTGGGGATGCGACTGGTTCAGCCTCACCCTCCACCTCAGAATGTCGCCTCTTCTTCTTCTTCTTCTTCTTTTGGGTGGTCTTTTGAGCCGACAGGCTGTTGAGGTCCGGTTCTTCCACTGGGGCGCTGGGGTTGTTGGAAGACTTGGGGCTCTTTGGGCTGGCACTGTGGAGGCCGTTTGTTTTAGGAGAAAGGCTGGCGTTTGGTTTTTGCAGTGTAGAAAGAAGGGACTGTTTCGGTTTGAAGGATCCACTGGAGTTGGCAAAAGGCTGCGATGATGACTGGACTTTTGGAGAATGGAATGGACCAGCTCTGAGGAGAAAAGATGAGAGACCAACCTGAATTGATCGGATCATTTCCAAAATGTCAAATACTTAATTCTTAGAGCGGTGGCTGGAGGTTCTTACCTGTGATTATGAGAAGGTGAGGCATAGGTGAGGGGGTTGAGTTGATTTCGATGCATGGGGTCACTGGACAGCTGGCGTGGCAAATGGGGCGGAGCATCAATGCTGCTCGGGTTCTGGCTGCGAGCCTGCAGTTATCGACATAAATAAAAACTTGGTGGTCTAAAAAAAAATAGCCATGATGTGACAAAAATAAGGAAGAGAATCAAACAAGGAAGAGAAAGATCAAAAAAAGGGACGGCAGGAAAAGATGGAGGGAGGAGAAAAAAAAGAGGAAAGGGTATGGCAGAGAAGAATTAGAAATGGTTAGAAAAAAAGGACAAACTAAAGGAAAAGAAGACAAACTAAACAAGTGCTAATATGTGGTTGATTAAACATACACACTGGGAAAATTACACATTTTAAACAGTAGAAAATAAACTAGAGAAGAGGATATCACTTGCCTTGATCTTAACTACTTATTGAAATCAATTGTCAAACAGCAATTTGGAGTGAGGCATCAGGAAACCAATCATAATCTTTCAGTAAGACAGGAGGTGGTGCTCCTGCTGTGGATGAGATTGAGGTTCACCTTCTTGGCTGACAGGGCCAGCTTCTTGGCAGGCGGAGGTGACATGGTGCTGGTGGCTTCCAATGTGATGTTGTTGAGGGCGGGGGGTTTTAGTTTGGCCGTCTTCTGCTCCTCTGTGCTCTGGGAGCGCTCCACGCTTTTGGCCGGAGACGACACAGCGTTTGAGCCTTTCCGCGGGGTGGAGGGAGTCTCTCCTACCGGCGCACTTTTGGTACCCACGGAGTCCTGGCCGACAAAAACAAAAACAAACACAGAGAGCGGTTACAGTACTGCGCATCGAATCAGACTGAAGAATTTTGGAGAGTACACGGCATACATTTAAAACAGATTTAGGCAATCACACCTCCAAACTTAATGCTCTACCTTAGGATTCAAGATGGCGCACTTCCTTGATTTGATCGATTAGTAAATCAACAAAACACTGGCTGTTAAGATAACCCGTCATTAAAGGTCGTTCTTTTCCCAAATCAAAAAGTCTCAATTTGAAGCCTCCTAAGAATTTAGGTCTTTGTTTAATATCGTAACTGCATTTCTTAAAGTTGTAATATGTAGAATTTTTACACTGAAATATTGTTATTATTAAAAATGGACTAAACCATATTGTTCTTGTGGAGAGAAATCCTTTATATAATAGTTATAATGGAATGTGTCTCAATGTGGCAGATGCCAAGACTGACACGACATGTTTATCGTTGCCACGGAAACACTAGCTGTTACATCAAAGACAGCTGCATAAAAAATCTGGATATATTACTGAAAGCTGCTGTTCTATTGCTGGAAGTGCTGCTGTGTTAAAAGACGTCATGTTAACTATACCTGGATACATTAGCTCGTAGCTAAACATTCTCGTTCTCAAGTCTAATGTTTCTCTTTGAATCCTAAAAGCCTAGCCAGGGACGGAGGTTGAAAATTAGCCACAGGTAGTAACCTGTGTGCATGGCATCTCCTTTGAATTTCACTTATGAAGGAATGCTCATTGCATCTTTGTTCAATAAAGCACATTTAAAAAAAAAAAAAAAACATTACCTTCGAGTCGAGGGTGTCGGCAGACGAAGAGTCAGACAAAGACTTGAATGAGGTAGACGCTGCCATGCCTCGGCCTTCGCCGCCTTGCTTTTTGTCTCCCTCTGTCCTGCTCACCCCGTTGTTGGACGGGGTTGGCGTGCTGCTGCGGGACTGTGCTTGGCTCTGGGGAGGGGGCTTCTTCAGCTTCTTGAAAGGCTCCTCGATGACCGTGGGTCCACCCGGCAGCTTGGGTGGGCCGTTGGAGGATGACGTCCAAGTGGAAATTCTTGGCTGTGATTGAGAGTTGACCCCGTTCCTGGAAACGGGCAAGCCTAACCCGCCGTCCATGGACTGGATCTTACGCAGTTGTGCAGGTTCAAGTTTCTAGGGAATTAAAAAAAAAAAGAAAAAAAGAGAGAATTATATTTACAGCTTCAAAATGAAAACTGCTCATGAACTGTCAGCATATAGTCCGCATGTCCAACAGCGGGCTGACCGTCTCGTACCTTTGTAACCTGCGGGGAGGACAGCGGCCCGTTCAAGTTGGCCCTCTTTATCTGTTCAGACGACACACTATTCTTCCCTTGATGCAACATGCCTTGCTTAGTTGTCTGCCCTTCCGCATTCTTCCTCGTTTCAGGGATCCTTCAATATACAAGAAAAAAGTCCACAGTTTATTTCATTGCACGTCCAGGAAAAACAAAAAAAAACACCTTTGTGGATCTCCTGCACGCAGACTTACCTCAGGTAGAAAAGCACGTAGGCCTGCTGGTTCAACACCACTTTGATGTTACTGGAGTGCACCATTGAATCATTCATTTGGTACCATTGACCGTTGCTTGCCTGAGAAAAAATAGGAACAGATAACATTTTAAAAATGTGCAGAAGGCAACAAGACTCCCTCCAGGAGTTAACTTCATTTAGCTTGAATTTAGCAGCAGATTTCAGCAGTAACAGGAACACAATTTGTTTGATTAAAAGTCGTATTCATAACTCCCACAGAGTCAGAAGACACTACCATAGCTGTTAAAAAAAACAACAGGTAGATGGTTGTATTTCTCTGGACGTAGTTAGCAATCAGAGTCAACGTTTCATGTCAATAATAAGCACGGCTCTACGGCAACAATGTGTTAAAAGGACAATTCAGACTATTGAACACACTACCAAGCACAATATGACTGCATGATTTAATATTATGACTATTTAGCAATACAACAATTAACAGGGGGCGCCGGTTCAGCCAAGCAGTAAGAGCGTGCATCCGGTTTACAGAGGTCACAGTCCTCTCAACTCTCATATGTTCGAGCCTCGCTCCCTCCCTCACACCCCGCTCCTCTAAATGTTCCTGCCCCTATTCACTGTCCTAATGTCATAATAAAAAGGCATAGAATGAGCCAAAAATATCAGAAACTCAACTAAATTTGATTATATTCTGATACTGTCATGATAAACTACACAATCTATGATGGAGGATTGTAATCATATCGCCCCAGTCTATGCATCCATCAGCTATTGTCTGGTGATATATGCCTCTGGGCACGATTGCAAACTTCTCAGTGATTGTTCAGGCGTAGCCAGAAGTTAGCGTTTAACAACTTTCAGCCAAAATGTCATTTTGCATGTGCTGCATTGTTCAAAGTTCAAAGACAATCAACCGTGCGATCAGATCTAATGCAAAGCTAAATGTTCCCCTTCAGATTTAACACCGTCATTTCTTGGTTCACTCCTCCCCCTGGAGAAGCCCCTGTTCATCTGTTTTAAAGGGGGTCTCACATTAAGTGTGAATACTAGGTCACACAGAGGCTTAGTTTACTTCAGCGGTGTGAGCTAGAAGAAGAAACAGATTTTCAAGCAGCTATATGGTCTTGAGTTTGCCAAAGTAACATCATGATGAAGATTTGCAAAAAATAAAAAAAAGGAAGCTCTGCCAACTTCAAGAGGAGAAGACACTATTTTTGTGGAATGGGGGTGGAATCGATCATTTCTGACGTGTTCATGGGAGTCGTAAATCACAACAGCGACTGTCTTGCGCTACACATGGTCCTGCAGATGTATTGCTCAAGTGGACACTTTTGATAAAGATTGTCTGCTGCAGTTTCATGCAGATATCTATTGATGGAGATAAATAAATCTTTGTCAGATTACCACCAATGGGACCCGGGATGTCATTACATTGTTCCGCCTGCTTTTGCTCTCAATATGAACTGCTTTTCCCGGCGACACACCAAAGCCTGCTGATACATAATTGGTCAATACTAATTAGGCTACAAGTGTATGACAAATGAAACCAGAACACTTCCCATTGTAAAACTCAGACCCTCGGACACAGATTCTACATGCTTATGTAGAATCGGTAAGCCCAACAATTATTTTAGAGCTAAAATTATGAGAGCAAGAAAGTCAGATATCAAATATGTGATGAGCTGATATTTTCTGCATTTTCTAAAAACCCTCTAAACATCCATCCCTTTAGTCATGATCCTCCACACAGCAAAGAACGTCCTTTTCCAATCACGCACAATGTTAGTGAACATAACGACACCATCAGTAACAAGGCGGTGTCTCACCTTGACATAGCAGTAGTAGTGGCCTGCATGACAACTGTAGCCCGAGTGCACGAGGACGGCATAGAGGCCGTACATGACGGGATCTCCTGAGCTCTGAGACATGTATGGGCGGATGTTCAGAAATTCTGGATAACCAACATCCTGTTTAAAAAAAAAAAGAAGAAAAAACACTGAAGTATGAGATCACTGAAAAATATGAAACGGCTCTTCTGTAGAGCTAATAGTGCGAGAAAACCGTGTTCACCTTTGTTATCTTTCCTCCGCTGAAGTTTGCAAACCTCTTCAGTGAGAGGGTCAGTACATTAGATGTTCGATGGACTGTGAAGCGCTTAGTTGCCGGCACTTTCTTTTTGCACCTAAGGAAGGGAAAGAAAAAAAAAAAAAGGAGGAGTCATGATAGGTCAGGGAAAATGGACGTCTAATGTGAGTAGATGTTACTGTGGGGAGAAAAAAAAGAAAGATCTATCGCCATGTCCTGCAGATTCACTTAAAGTGGAGGGATGTTGTCAGACTAGATGAATGGGACTCACTTGGCACACATGTAGGCGTTCTCTCCACTGAGTACATCGGGCTTTACAAACAGTTCCAGGGCTCGCACGATGTTCGCCGCTTGCTGAGAAACAAAACAACAGAAATACTTAGTGATGCTGAAGCAGGTTGAAAATATACACAACATATTACTGAGATCATGTCTCTTACCCGAATCTCCACAGCAATGTCCAGGTAAGGGTCATATGTATCCGACACACTTTTACAAATCGAGCATTTCACTGAAAGGCAAAAAGACAATTTATATTTTTACTTGTTTTTCCACATTATTCAGAGTATACACAAACTTGATGAAAATAGAAAAAAGAAAGATATGCATTTGCATGTATGACTGTGGTGAAAAAACTATTCAACAACATGTAGCCGTTTGAGCAAATCTATTTTCTTGACATTGACATCAGTCTGCTCTGCTGGGTAAAAGATCAATAATGCAATCATATAAGCCACAGATGAAGAAATTAGTAAACCTGCACAGCTCTAAAAGAAATATTTTCTAATGGTTTCTTTCTCTGAAAAGAAAAGAAAAAAAAAGTCAATACCTCTTGACCTGAGGTAACCTCCAAAGATCTGATGAACCAGTGTTGTGGCCTGGGTCTGTCTGTCAAGCCTTCAGAAAGCAAGGGGAGAAAAATGTAATAAAATAAAAAATATATAAAACACAGCTTAAGTTTAAAAGCTCAGTAAACACAACAATGATGAAGTCGTACTTAGGGTAGCCATTTAGACAGGCTTTCTGCATGGCATCGATGGTGTACCGCAAGAATTCATGGGCGTCCTCCTGGCTTCCAAAACGAAAGTGTCGGGCAATTTCTACAGGAGACAAAAAACAGTTTGTTAGGTTTGTGTGCTTGTTATCAAAATGAAGAGCTGATTGACAAATATTCACGTGAGGTGAACCTGAAACGCTCCCATACTGCTGACTTGACTTGTTTATTACGAAGTTTCGCTGCTTGGTCCCTCTGCAATGGTAAAGCTAATGTGTAGCGTAGCTTGATAAGGACTGCACATTAAGCTGGTGCACAACAGCTACAGTAGGGTCACTGCCTTTAGGATTGATTAATTAAAGTATCACTCACTTTACCATTATGACAACAGGTGAGCATCGTGCAGGGAGCAACAAGCTGCACCAAACAATTAGACTGACAGCATTAGAAGGTTCATATTAACATGAGACATCACACCCTGATTAATGCATCTAAGGAGGAACACATCTTTCTCTCTCGCTCTCCTTCTACATGCAGAGCATACAGCCCAACAGGTGTGAAGCGAGGGCAGATCGCCCACTTGTTTATGGATCTTAGATGGTGATAGTAACTATGCGGATAAAAAAAAACAATATGGTTGGCAAAATGTACTTTGGCAGCCCGCCCAGGTTTGGTCTGTGTGTGGGAGACGCTGATGTTTTCATACTAAATTATAATTAGTCAGTTAGTTGCACATGTTCACACACAGAAGAAAGTCTTCCACGCTTAATGTGCGCCTGTTAACTGTGGACATGAAGAGGAGGAAAGAACAGAAAACGAGGGAAGAGGACAAATAGCTTAGCCATGCCAAGAGAGGTTATAAGACACGAGAGCTGTGAGAGAGATGTCAACACTAAACTCAAAAACTGTATGGACTGTGGTGTTAAGAGACGGATTCATCAAAAATAAATGACAACACAATTTAAAAGTTCAGAGGCAGAAAATATGGATCAGGTGCTACAGCGATGTTCACCTTTGACGTCTGACCTTTCACTGGACATATTTACTTTAAAATGAATTACAACAGCGAGGTCGGCTAATTCAATACATCTACAGGCTACAAGGCTTCCAATATGTCGAATCTAAGGGACGACTTTATTTGCAGGAGAACATAAATGTAGAATCAATACGTGATTTCCAGGACAACATTTTATGCCACCATGTTTTATTAGGAAGTATCAGGGCTGGGTATTTCCCACAACCCCACGATATGATACATATGGTGGTATACATTGATTTTGGATGATGACCCTGTCCTACACAGACTTCACTACAACAGCTGTTCAAATCAGGTCTTCAAAGATCCTAGAAATTAATAATATTTTAATCCCAGAGCTATGGCTAAGCTTAGCAGCCGTATCGATTCTGTAACATCTGTATTGATATGTATTGGCAAGGAGCACATAACAATATAGCATGTATTGAGGGGGATTACAGGGGACACAAAGCCCTTTTTGTCCATTATCTCTTACCGTACATACTAAACAGGGTATTTACTTTATTTAAAGAAGGTGTAAAGATGTTCAGAAATAGCAACATGGCACATGTGGAGAGTACAAAATGATTATCAGTAAAGATGCTTTATTTAAAATGTCAGAACATTCTCAGATATGCAGTTGGACGATGACTCAATAAAAGCTTACAGTCACTCAGCAGACTCATCTATCTTCTCGACTATAATGGAGTGTAAAACCCTTCGACTCTACACTGATTATCCTAATGGAAAGAAAGGGGGGAAAGTATGAGCTGGTTAATTGCATTGCGGTCATCATCACCACATTCCCGGCATAGCATCCCTGTACAGCCGTGAGTCACCGCTGAGTGGGGAAACTGGAATAAGACACCACACGACTCTGACGACCTGTTTCGGGGACTTTCTGCGCGGAGGTGAGAGAGGAACATCTACAAGATATAAAAAAAAAACTGTGGGCACGCGGCAGCAGGGTGGTTGTGTTTTTATTTGCTTTGAGAGACCCAGAGTGACATCCTGGGGACATTTCAGGATCAGTCGCAGCAACACTTTTTAGATTTTTAGTGGCATGATTTGTGCTGAGCTAAAACGGAACCAAAGGCTGTTTTTCATTGGATGTGTTTGTTCTGTCCTAGCTGTGGATGCTAGTTCCTACCTGCTTTCAGCTCAAATAAAGTAAAAAAGAGAGGAACAAAAACAGACCATCTTTGTCCTGGGTTGAGAAGAAAGGGGGGGAAAAAAAAAATTGGACTGTAGATTTTTTTGTGCTAAAGCTGCTCCTCTCAGCCCGCAGTCACAAGGAGACAGAGAGGGCATCGGGGAAGGAGGGGGGAGGGAGAGGCAGAAAAAGAGGTGCAGGAGGTGGAGACATGATTGCAGCAGCACATAAGGAAGCAGCAGGCAGGAGGCGGACTGAAGGGAGGAGGAGGGAGGGGAGAGAGGGTGTGGGGGGGGGGGGGGCGGTTGGACTGTGAGCTTACAGCACAGTACCTCAGCATGTCAAGGTGTAGGATCATACCTTGTCTCTACTCTCTACATGGTTTTTTCATTCACAGCCCTGCAGTCTGTCCGCTCCACTTTTTTCTTTTATTTTCCTTTTTCAGACTGCAGTCACTGGCTGCTGTCACGTGACACTCACATGGCCAGTGTTGCGTCATCGTGCCTGAGGCAGTGTTCACTCTAAACGTCAGGTGTCTGACACAAAACTGCTCACATGCAATGACACAGAGTTCAAGGGAAGATGGACATCTTACTTTTCAGATCTCTGATGAAGGAGACGGGCTTGATGGCGTTGCCCGTGTTGGCGAAGGCTTGGATGATGTGGTTCTGCATTACACAGATCATACAGAAGCCTGACTGGTGACCTGAAACACACACAACAATAGCAGCATTAGAATCAGGGAACGATGGCAGAGGAAATGTTTGTTATTGAAAGAAGGAACGTTAAATGTGATATCGTTTTAATCACTCAGAATAAACTCAGTGAACAAACACAAGGCAGGGTATAAACTTATTATCAGGATGAAAGCATTCACAATGAACACATCGCAAAAGTCTGAAATTATCACAATTATTCTTCAACACTTTTCATGTAGTCAAGCAAAGCTTTCTCACTCTGCATGTGCACATGTTACCAGTTGAAAGCAGGCCTGTGTATAATGGTGACGCTTTCAAACCATCTAGATGCAGCCAGACGAAGGTGAAGCTAACTATCAGCTACTCTGGGATGAATAGGCGCCAATTTAGTGGAGAAAAAAAAAAGTTTTTCTGGGATTTATTTTAGATTTAAAAAGGGAACATGTTGCAAACACAGGTGTTCTGTAAAACATGAAGGACAGCAGATAGACAGAGAAACGCAGTTAAAGCCTATATTTACTCTTTCTTTATGGCTACATGTTGAGGATGAAATAGCCAGAATAATGATTCAACATACCATCCATAATTGGATGTTGAATTGCTTTATATTTTAAAAGTATTCCATAAATTTAACTACCTCAGGTATAAAAGTAAAGCTTCCATTTTTTTAGGTACATTTTGAATGATTTAGTTTTTACTTTTGCTTGAGTAGATGATTACTTTGATGAGGTATTCTCTTTCCAAACCTGCATTTTAACCTAGAGCACTGAAGCGTTGAGGTCAGTGAGGTTTTTTTTTCTATTGCTGAGTGAAAGCAGAGAGAGGAACGACTGAAGCAGCTGTCTATGTTTTTCTTCTTCAGCTGCTTTGGTTTGCATTCCGCAGAGATGTGTGAGCATAAAGGGCTTACAGTAGCAGGGTTACAGTCATTTTCACTAACTTTAAAAGTTTAAAACCATGTGGGTGTGCACTGGTTAGGCGAGGTGAACGAGAGTGTAAATGCTGTGTGTCTGGGAGCATTTAAGAGCACAATTCAAGTACTCACAGGCACGGCTGTGCTCCTTGGAGAGTAAGTAGTTGGCAAGTGGTGGGGTGTAGGTGAGACACTGCACTGTGGAGTTGAGGAAGCAGGTGTTCCCGAGGTTGTGGAGGCCGGCTCCCACCCTGTACACACGCTCCCATTTGAGGGTGAGCTTGTTCCCTGGAAAGAGCATCTTCTGGGGGGCCGGGACCCCATCGCTCTGGCCCCCAACCACGTTCTCAGAGACTGAAGAAGGAGGGCAGTCAGTTTGTGTCATTATCAAAAACAGTAATCCACAGAAAGCTCAACTTTTAAGGAAAACTCTGCTAATATTAGACATCAAAACATGCAAATGCTTCAGTTCAGTTTCAGAGCTTACCTTGCCTCTTTATCTGGGCAGGCTCTGCAGCCTTCTGGCCCGTAGCGCCCTCATTCCTGGGGTTGAGGATCACATACTTGTTCTTCAGGCTGTCCAGCTGATAGGAGAAACCCTTGCTGGCAGGCTCAAACTCTATCTTCTGCAAAAGGACCTTCTTGGCAGAAGAGGCCAAGAGTTTGTTGAGGTCGCCCTCATCGCCCGTCTCCTTTCGGCCAGGTTTCAAAGCCTCTTTGAGTTTATCGACTATCGGCATTGTTGGAACATCACTGTGGAGAGAGTTGGATTGATAGTCATTAACAATGCTCATTTGCCCAATTTTATTTGAGGTCCACACCCTATTCATCATCTTAAGAGTATCTTGGCCAGGATTCTCTTGAAAACAGACTTGTATCTCAATGATGAGAATATTTTCCTGGTAAATGAAAGGTTCATTCATTAAAATAGATTGTCCCTTAACAAATGCTAGTTTTGGAAATATCTCCCATACAGCCTAAAGTGGAAAAGCAGGTATTGTCATACAAGCATTTAGTGCACCAATCTAACACTAAGACTTATTGACCCCTCAAATAATCGACCTATTTCTTCATCTTAAAAATAAAGAAGGAGCCTAAACAGCAATAACATACTGCTAGTGACGAGTTTAACAGAAGTCAAAAATGGCGTCACAAACCATACAGCCAAGGCCATACAACAATGACAGCAATTATACTTCATCCAAATAGGAATTCACCGATGCCTCTGCAAATACTGTGACATGAGCCAATGTTTATCTGGTACACATTACTACTGATTCAGAGAAGAGGTTTTTTTTAAACTGTGCAGAGGAAGTCACCTGCTGGACAAACTCTGCACTGGTGGCCAATTTCTTTAAGTTGTGATTTTAATTTTTTTACTGACAGCTTAAAATTTCTACATGGTACTGCACCAGAATACTTAAATTACCATACCCAGTCCTAAACACTGGTTTAGGTCGACTTCCTCCTGACATCAGTCAGAAGAGTACAGGGACTTATCCCAGGGCCTTTTCGGACTGTCTGGTTCACAAGTCAAAACTGAACTGGGGATAAAGGCGTTTTCAGTTTGCTGCTCCCTTCATTTGGAACGAGTTACAAAAAGAGCAGAAACTTAACGAGCTGCTCTCATTGGATGATTTTGAGAGGGTGTTAAAAAGACACACATCTGGCTGCAGATGTTCTACCTGATGCATTTGTGGACAATCTTGCCAAACATTTGCCGTTTAAATTTGTTACGTGTGTCTTTTAATGTCTACAAATGTATTTTCTTGTATTTGTATGTTCGGCTGCTCACTGTTTCTGGGAAACTCTATCAACATCTTACTGCCCAAGAAGACCCCTGAGACCAGCAGCCTTGGGCCTGCTCACTGTGCCCGAGTCACGGCGGAGGTTTAAGGCAGATGAAGCACCTCAGCTCTGGAACAGTCTTCCACTTTCTATCCAATCAGCAGACTGTCTGTTTCTGCTTTTAAACTCTGCCATAAGACTCAACTTTACAGACTTGCCTTTTTAGCTGATGGATAATTTCATCAGAGCTCCGGTGTGCATATTAGATCTCTCCTGTTTTATTGTTTTTTTTCTAAATCTGTCATTGGCTCTTTTAACTGTGTGTCTGAATGTTGCTGTTTTTGTGTGTTCACTTGTGATTGTCTCTTTTAAATTGCTTCTGTAAGCATTCTGTGCTACTGGCTTGAAAAGGGCTCTTCAAATAAAGTATTATATTATTATATAAACGTCCGATTTATCAGTGAAATAATCATTTCAGTGCCCAATAAAAGCGTGTGTCTTCAGTAGGTACATCTCTAGGTCACATATGTGGCTCTGACAGAGACAGAAGTACTGAGTGCATCTCAGGAGCCAGCTGGGTCTTGGCAGCTGTCCTCACAGTTATGCAAGATATTAGACATTGGTAACCGGGTGGGGGTGGGTGGTGGGTGGTGGGTGGTAGGGGGTGTATGAGGCAGGAGAGGACGGGCATGTAGAGCGCGAGGTGTTAACAGCTGCTGTTAACCGTCAGGTCAAAATCTTATTGATTTGGCCTGCATTCATGTTTTCATTGTTTCTTCCACTAACTAACATGTTTATTTACTATTTCTCTATATCATCGAATTCCAATGAGCATGAAGAAAAATTGACAAATAGAAAATACTGATTTAAAAAGCAAACACTTGCAGAGGCTGTCTGCCGTCCCTTTAAATACTGGCCTGCTGAGTGCACTAAAAAAAAACATTTGAGTGTAGATAACGTTTCCACATACTGACTGGCAGAATGAATGATTTCTGCTGTGAGTTTTATTCCCAGAAAAAGCTCAAATGCTATCTGTGTAGTGAGAAAAAACAATCATCCATTCTCACATAACCTCTGTTTTCTCTGGATGCAGCCAAGGTTGCCACAAACACACACACACACACACACACACACACACACACCCTCATTAAAGTGAGAGCATTACATTATGTAGATGGCCCGAGCACTACAATAAAAACACTGAAGGCATGTAGTGCCCCGAGAGTGGTGCTCATCAGAGTGGGCAGTGACGTCAGAAAGAGGGAAGGAGGGTTGAACATGCATTGTATGCACAAGGGCACGCTGACCTTCACGTGCTGCTGATACTGATACAAGTGAGAGCCACACAGCAGCCTGCAGGGACGCAACAAACTGCAGTGATGCAACTAGAAGAGTGGCCCGGCGATGTTGATACACTGACCACAACACATGAATGAAACCCGATGGTTGTGTTGCATAATCCACACAGACACGCTGTAGTTTGATAGTTGGTTTGTGGAATGTCAGAGAAACTAAACAGACAATTACATCTTGTCTTTAAAAGTGTCTTTTTTTTTTTTTTTTACAAATCAGTTTCAGATTACATGTTAGATCGGATGTTAAAAGATGTAGCTTAATAAGCAGTGATATATTTATATGTACATGCCCTTCATTGATGTACTTGAATGACTTATAATGGTTTTATAAATAACTTGTAATCTGCTGCGAGCCTCATATTTTCAAAGTAATGCCAGACATCGCTACATCTCTCAATAGTTTTTTCAACAATAAGAGATACATTTAATAACACAATCACATGCCAAACATCTGTCAAAATACTGCTAATTTACTACTCTGACTACATTTATGATTTTAATATGATAGAAGAAACAACACTTCTAGTGAACCTGTATGACATTCTGCATCTTTAACATCAGAATTGCATGTGGATGTTAATGAATTGTTTTCAATGTATAATATTTATGTGTGGATCTTTGAATCTGTGAAGTAAACAAACATGTTTCTTTCCTTTTTCTGTGTTTACCCTTGTGAGAGTAAATGGAAAATGGACTAAAGCTTGTATAGAGTTTATCTAGCCTTCAAAGCACCTTTACACCACACCTCTCATTCACACACTGACAGCACACTATGTAAAGTGACCATCAGAAGTAACTAATCCCATTCATACACATGCACACGCTACGCTAAGTTTCTTGCCTAAGGACACATTTGACATGTTGCTGCAGGAGCTGGGGATCAAACCCCCAACCTTCCGGTTGAGAGACAACAGACTACCAACTGAGCCACAGCCGATTGAACACATGTGTGCATGTTCACCGTGCAGGCTACTACAAAGAAATGAAATGAGTCTAATAAAACACTATTCTGCAGCGAGATGTTTTGCTGTGGGCTGGATGGGAAAGTTAGAATGTTTTTTGGTCACTTGATCTTATAAGCTGTACAGCACAAACACAGTCTACATTAAAATAGGCTCTAGAAATACTTCATTTGGAACCACTTCTCTTTAGCAATTCGTTTATATGGCAGCTAAATAGCTACCCACCCACAATAACCACGAAAAAGAAGAGTATAAATAAGAATTACTCAAAGAGTCGATCAAAAGAAAAACAAGTTGCAATCCAGTGATGTCTAATATTTACTTGTTTACAATGACAGGGTCAGTGTCCTGTTGACACCAAACTTTCTCTAAATTATGTATTTCAATATCATGTGTAAGGAGGAAGGAAACACAAATAATCAACTGAAAAGTGATTATTTTCCCAGAAACAGAGAACAAATGCATCTAGCATGACGACTTACTTCATATTTCACAAATTACCTGCACTGACTATCACTGCTTCATTTGTACAGTACACTTCATATCGCACGTTGTCTCTCAAGGACTAATCATCGCGCGAACGCCTGACTTTGTGGGACGCACCTGAAGGCAACGCGGGTAATGCTACACTACCACAATCCATCCGTCGGAAACGAGCGATTGAACAATTAGATAGTTGTGTTAGTTCATAAACATCGCTGTCAAGTGCAGTAGCCGTAGTATACCAGCTGGAGTCAACACTTCAGGGCCATTCACCACCAAGGCTTAAATGCTAGGTTGCTAACACACAGCACAGCTAAGATAATGTCGAAACAAAACGCTCTTAAGTTTGTTTACGAAACATCGACAGCAATCTAACACGCATACTATCAAATCACTATTTAACCGTGGGGTTCTTTCTGCAACCCGCAGTGCCGTTTTCTGTCTTTTCACGGTTATCAGTGGCAGCGGAAAATTAGCCAGCGAGCTAGCTTAACGTGGCGAAAGCCTCCAGCCGATCTCATTGCTGCAATGTGGGTTAGCATCTCAGCGTAGAGGTGGCTAACAAGCCCAGCCCGCCACATACTGCCCGTTGTGTTTGTTACATAACAATGGAAACATGTGCCAACGACTATTAAGGATGTAAAAACATCGTTTATATGCTCACCTTACGATCAACCGGACAAAATCGGTGACAGTACAGAGATCTGCTTCCTCAGCTGTAGCTCTCGACTCTGGTATTTTCGCCCATGCTGCATTATCAAAGGGCGGAGCAGAAGATGACTGGCAGTGATCAAGGACCAATCAGAGAACAGGTCACACCGAAGCTGAAAGGTTCAGCCAATCAGCGCTGAAACTGACGTAGCGCTGTCGGGGAGAGAACCACGCGTGACTTCCAGCCAGCGCTGCCGCTGTTTACCATTGATGCAATTCTGGGCTAGATGATATCGTAACAATTTTTCGATGTAACAACAACAACGAGAGACGAACAATGTGTAGTTTGCGGTTTGTTACTTCTTCAACATTGCGCCGACACACACCGTCCTCTCTTGAGAAACGAAAATCCCTCGATTGACTAAATCTCAGCATTATATTTTATATTCCACTACATGTGATTTTACCAAATATTTAATTATCAAAAATGTCAGTAAATTGAATTCATATTTGCTAACCATTGAATCAGTATTTTTGATGTAGTGCTGTTGAAGTGAAGAGGAGTACAGCCAAAACAAAAGGTTAAGCCTCGAATAAATGTCAATAAATGTAATAATGTTTATTGAAAATATGCCGGTTATTTATTGTATTGTTATGTAATCACTACTTCTATTATCATAAATCTATTATTTGCCATGTACTCTCATTATTGAAAACAATGTAATTCTTAGTTTGACTGGCATATCTAATGTTTTTAAATTCCAGAGCTTGAAATCCTGAGAATATCATATCATATCTGTTCACATGCAGAGGCTCGTGAGGGAATGTATATTTCATGTTTTCTCCACTAGGCGGCAGCAGATCGCTGCGAAAGTGTCGCAAAGCAGTAACTGCAGCTTGAACCATCCTCAGAACTAAGAAGTCTCTGAATCTTTGATTAAATATAGTGAAAGTTATACATGATGTATGGGAGTATTGTGCTGTTTTATTATGCATGCTTGATAACTTGTGCTGTCCTTAAACACAAGTGAAGTCTGCAACACATTTCACTTGGTTGAGCTGTGATTTATATAGTTCCACTTAGAACAAAAAACTAAATGTATTTTTTTTACTTTGGAATTTGTGATGATGTGAATGTCCGAGTGTTGTGAGGTAGGTAAATATAAAAACAGAGCAAATCTTTAAAACAGGGTTTGGCATTTAATATAATAGTAAAAAAAATGTACAGTATTGTTTCAAATGAACACGCATGCAAAAATCACATCAAAAGTCTCATGTGAAACCAGCACAAGACAGCATACTTGACTACAGTTTCAAATAAAGAATCATTTTACAGTCTCATATTAAGTATTAAAATAACAAAACAATATCAATACTTTTGCGGTAACATTAACAGCTCTGCAAGACAGTGCTTCATTAGTTACAATTTGTTCTTTAATGTACTGTCTGTTAACAGTAAGGCCAGCTGTTTGACCTTTAATGCACACCAAATATGTGTCTATATGGCTAACACCAATGGTTCATTTGTCACAATAAACATCAAAATGTGGCGTTTCTTCAATTAAATATGATTCATCATTTAACCTCCTTAAATTAAATATGCTCTTACACTAAAGCATACCAATGAGATGTTATATAAAAGTACAAGAAGGAGCATTCAAGCCTCTTTTTTTCCCAAAAGTTTCCATTAGAGACAATATGGCTGGTGTGACAATCATGTTCAAAGTGCATACTTTTCTATTCAAGGTTATCTAGAATAAAACAATTACAACAAACAGGTTAGCCACACCTCAAACAAAGGGGGATGTTTTTTTGTTTACGGCAAAGAAAAAAGGAATCAGAGGCAGGAGTAGCAATAGTTATCCCTGGCTCCTTGTAAAAGCTGTGCTGTCACAAATCAGGATACTGACTGATTTCACAGATTCACACGATTGTTACACTTTGACTGATAGGTATGTTTGTGTAGCACTATGGAAATATATTTCACTTTAAACACTGCCTTTGATTAGAATAAGACATGGTAGCACAGAAACGAAAAATGCCAAAAACAGTTAAAGTTAATAATGACTATCACTTTATTTCAGCAGAGGGAGGAGTGGTTTATGATGAAGTGCTTCAGATTTAGGAGAAGTGTCTGAAAGTGCTGAATTCAGAAGACTGCAGTTAAAAAAAACAAAACATGAAGAGTCCTGCAAATAAAACTATTTCACCCTTTCGACCTCACCACAGAGCACACACCCTATGGCGTTCTTCTTTGCAAGGACAAACAAAACTCGATTTGTGTATTTATTGATGTTTTTTTTGGTTTTTATATCTTAGTCTTATCTCAAAACTTTTTCAGACTACTGCACAGCGATGGAGCTAAGGGTCTTCGATGTCCATGAATTCCCTCTTGGGCGGTGCTGACCCTCTGTACCAGGCGCAAGAGTCATCGCTCCTCTTGATACAAGCGAAGTGTTTGGCCTGCTTTCCGTTGACTGTCTTCTCAATCACCCAGTCCAACCACAGGCACTCAGCCGGGCTGCTGAGCACGCAGGGGATGGAGGTGCAGCGAGTGATCTAAGAAACAGAAAAGAAGAGAGCGAGATCAGGGATTGTGATTACAGCGAGCAGCATGTATTTTTTCAAAAGATTATTTTAGTCCGCGGTCGCTCAGAAGTGGCTAATTCTACTTTGCTGAATACGTCTTTTTTTCGCCTGTTCTACCTTGCAATCACAGCCCATTTCGTAGCGCTGAGTCAGGCTCTTCTTCTGGGTGGCACTCAGTTCCTCCCACTGCTCGATGAAGTCACACAGTGTGACATGCATCGTCCCATCGCTCTCCAATTTGCCTGCGGAGGAACAAGAGTGCATTAGATCCAGCCAGGAACAATCTGTGCTACGTTTTGTACCGTGTCATTTAGGCTAGAAGCTCTACCTGTGATCAGATACTCTTTGCCGTTAGTCTCCAGATTCACTCCACACACCGCAGAGGATGGTGCCGTGTAGATGGCATCGATATCCTGGTTCGGACCTTTGAACATCTGATAAATCAAACAGAGGACAGAACATTCAGATTCATATCCAAATTGGGTTTATATTGTTACATGAGAATAATAGCTTTATCCAATGTACCTTGATCTGTTTGATGTCATACTTGACCCGTTTGATGGGGTTTCCATAGATGTCATTGCCAACATCAACCTCCCCCTCTCCAACCAACTTCGCCCTGATAACTGGAGACAAAAAAACAACCCGTGTTTACCTTCATTGTTCTTGAAAACAAAGCTTCAAACACTATTGTTACAGTAAAACTGAACTGGATCTGGGTCTGATAGAAGCCCTGCCTCAGTTCGGCATGCTGGTGTTGGCTACAACTCGTCGCTGCGGCTTGGATCTGAGGAGTGTGCATGTGCCAGGTGCTGGGAAGACAGAGGCACATGAGTGTTTCATCAGCTGCAATCAGAGGGAGGAATGTGCGCCGCCTGCTCCCAGGCTGCTGGGCCGACGCAGGAGGAAGCTAGTCAGCAATCTTTTGAAAAAGCTGAACTAGAATGCCCCCCCCCCCCCCCCAGGCCTCTCTGCCGGCCTGCCTCTCTGTCTGGAGAGAGGTGCTGACATGCAAATCAACCCTCTGCTTCCCCTCTCTTTCTCTCTCGTTCTTTTTCTTGTGCTCCAAAGTTGCAGCTTCCAAATTCAGTGGTGGAAAAAAAAAAAAAAAAAAAAAACACTAGATCAAGTGGAAAAATATTACCAGAGCCATTCTGATGAGCAATTGAGCTCAAAAAACTGAGTACTCAACAAAAAAGTGTGACTCATTTGTCTCAGAAACACAGATCCTATCACGTGAAACTTAACCAACAAGTACAGTAAATCATTGATATCTATGGAATACAGCAAATAGGCAAGTTGCAGCGATTACTGCGCAGACACGTGACAGCTACCGTAAAATAAATACGTTTACAAGTTCGGATTGAAAATCTTTTAAGTGGAGGAAACTAGCAGCAGAGCTAACGATAACCAGATGTTCTCTCAGCCCTTTCTTTCTCTCAAGGTGGCAGCTACCGAATGCCTCAGACCATCTCTAGCATGCCTCCCGTCCCTTCCAAATAACATCAAGCCTTCTTGTTTGTTTTCTTTATTTGACGAAAGGTATGAAGCTGCGAGCCACATGTGCCCTTATTCGATGACAATAGAGGCTTAGAGAACATCTCCTTTTAAGGGTCTAAAGACTGAACTCTAAGGGGAAAAAAAAAAAAAAGAGAAACAGGGGGAAAATAATGAGTGTGTGCACAGATGGAGTGGTTGCATTCTCTGTGCAGAGGATCAGAGGGAAAATGGACAGTCAAACTGCGGAGGTAGCATTAGCGTAGCAGTGTCCTGTGTGTGTACAGGGAGGAGACGAGAGACACAGAGAGATTGTCTTCTCAAAACTGTTTCCTGGCTTCCAACTTAATCCTGAGTTGTGCAATCTAAATGCTGCACAGCTGCTTTGAAGTTGCAGGAAAACAAGCTGTGCACACTTAAGAGCCGAACAACAAAATGCACAAAGTCAAGATGATTCTGGTTAATACAAAATCCTTCCAACTCTCCCGAGTGAGAAGTGCCGAGAACAGAAACTGTCCAACTTGTCGGGCTACACAGTGGATTAGTGGTAATCCCGTTTGCCTGAGTTTGCAGAGTCACACACAGAACACTTCTCCTTTTACTAGTGTAAAGTAGGGCAGGTGAAAATATGCACAGTATGTAAACAACACTGAAAAATGGGGCTAATGAAAATGATATGCATACATATTGTCACTTCGGCCTTAAAAAAACGTCATCAGGGTTGGAGTTGGTTCTTGAATTTGCATTCAGCATGTGAACATAAAGGGCTATTGCTCATTATTATCAGAACATCCACATTAAAGTTCAAATCCAAAAAAAGCTCTAATGTTTCCTACCCATTCCACTGAAGCTTACTATTACTATTGTATAGGTTATTGCTCGAGGTATTAATACTGAGTGTTGCAGCACATGTTGATGTTTACAGAAAGGAGCTGACCAAGCCCTTTAACAAAAATCACATGTTACACAAAACTGGGAATTAAGATAACCGTGTCATTTTCTAGTTACTGAAACCATAAACACATGATTTTGT